GATGGCAGTCGTGAGTCAGTCAAGTGTCAAGTTCGGTAAGAAGCGTGTGCTCCTCGTTGGAGCAACCAACTTCATGACTACAAAAGACCTGACCAGGAAATTGCGCGGAAAGTGGAAAAATAGCTAAAAACAGACAAAATAGGCACTCCAAATATGTACCTTTCATGAAGTGGCAAAGAGTTTATGCTCACCAGGACTAGGTAAGTAGCTGTCAGAACTGTCCTGCTCCATAAGACACACCTTCTTGCTCAACAGTAGCCTCCTCCCATCCTTTTCTGCGTCTTCTCCTCTTCTTCCTCCTCTCTTTTTCCTCTGTCGATGCCTTGCGCTGAGCTTTGTGGATTCTCAACATGAAGAGCTTTCTCCGTGTAGCAACCTGTTGTGCAGCCAAACTCCCTCAGAACTGCCAGGAGGGTGATTGCACCATGGTTAAAGGTGAGAACTGCCAGGTGTGCAGCTGTGCTCACAGTGTCTGCACTACAGAAGCCTTCCTTCGGACACATGCTCCACACAATGTTGTTGTAACTTTCATTTGCATTCTGTGTCGCACCCATCAAGCATCGCTCGAGCAGTTTTCTCTCTGCAAGCTGAATGTAGATGGGTTTGATGACCTCAAATACAGCTTTCGGAATGGAGTTGCGGTGAGTAAACGTCTCCCTGGCACCAGCTTCCACTTGTCGGTACTTGCACCAGGTGTCAGCGCCAGAAGGGCAGAAATCGTGCTGAGGCGTATCATCCATTGAGCAGCGATGCATGAGGCCACCCCAAATACCCCGCGCCATTGCCTGGAGGTCATCACTGTGCTGTCGCACTGCCCAGCCATAATAAGTCTGTAGCTTGTCAATGGTCTTGTCGGATAGTCGGCCAGCTCCAGATATTAGGCGGCCATCGCTGAGCTTCTTCCCTTTCAGTTGACGCTTTAGCTCGCGGAGTCGTGTGCCCACATATTAGGCGGCCATCGCTGAGCTTCTTCCCTTTCAGTTGACGCTTTAGCTCGTGGAGTCGTGTGCCCACTCTCTTCTGAACATGGCCAACACATTCTTCTTTTGCAATTTGTACACCACCATACGGGTCTTCCTTACACACTCTGTTATACCCCTTGGAGTCTCCATCTCCAATGTAGGTGGTGTACATCAGGCTGCGCTTCTCCATTGAGCGCTTCCATACATCACTCGCAGCTTCACATTCCATGCCAGGTGCAGATGCCTTGGTGTTAGCCTTGCAGCAGTGTTGCTCCTTCCATTCCTGAAATTCCTGTGCTGTAACAACTCCACTCTCTTCCTCGTCATTCCACAGGGCACACTCGTGGCAATACCGACTCTTCACTTGCACGTCTAGAACTCGACCGGTGCGCCATGAAATGCAAGCAAATACACCGAAGAGGGAGGAGTAGCCGCGTCGCATCCAGGTTCCGTTGAATGTGACAGCAACTTTGTCGGTGTTGTCCAGTTGCTTCAGCTCAACAGCACATTGGAGCATGTCCTTCTCAGCAACATTGGAAACAGCAGTCATCAGCTGCTTGTGGTGCGTGTTGTAAACTGATTCTGTCACTGGTGGTGGCAAATTCATTATTCCACAAAATTTTCTTAGCGCATTCCATCCTCTGCCAATGCGGCGCATACCCAAGACAGACCGCTTGTTCACCTCAAAACTTCTGCCAGCCTTCTTACTGAGTGGCGCATTGCCTTAGTGGGTCTATTGTTATTAGGCGGATGTCTGTGATAGTCACCACTGTAATATCAATCCAATCCAATGCAATGGTGGAGATTAAGATCTGGGAAAACATCTTACTTGTAGTTGTGGTGTTGACTTAGCCAGGTGAAGACCGAACACAAGTAGACAACTTTGAAGCAGAGGCGGTGTACTTGATGGGAGCATTGCACTCAAGCGTCAGCACAGTACCAAGGCCTCGTTGCTTTGAGTCTGCGAGCCGAAGAGTTCCACTTGAACATTTACGACAAATTGCGAAATTGTCCTGAAGTTCTTGCAGGGAGCTAAGGTCAACAATGCGATTGCCGTTCACTCCACAACAATCAGCAGCGTCATAGTCGTCGTCATCCTGCTCTTCATCAATCTCACTCTCGCTGTCTGACTCGGTGAGAAAACCTTGTTCAATATCTCCTTCAAGCAGCCAGGATGGCACATTTTTCAATTTTCGTGCAGACGCACTCTCTGGAACGCCAGCGTCCAACACGGCCTCATCATCGGGTCTAGGTTCCTCAGAAGACTTCTTTGGGCCAAAATACTTCCTCTTCGCCCTACGAACTCTCCGGCCTCCACTGCTGGAGCTCTGGCGAGGGTTTCCCATGATCCACCTTGCACAATTATGTTGTCTTACAATTACAAGTAATTATTTGAATTTTGATATACGGTACGGCAGATGTACACATCGTCAGCACGAGAAATCAGCCAGAGTTGGGAGAACTAGCCGCATTCCATCTGAATTGCAATTAGCACATTTGAACATCTAAATTGAAATTCTGTTGCAATTTCGTGCAACTTTAGATGCGTATATCTGTGCAATGCATCAATGGAACTTGCTCAAATGTTTTTCTCCAGCCCTTGAAAGCAGGTGGAACCGTTAGCAAGCACAAAAAGTAAGAATTTCGAAACTTCATTTTTTGACCCCACGAAACCATAGTCCCCCCCCCCCCCCCCGTTTAATACTGTGATCACGGATGGACTCGCTCAGACACTGGCACTTTGCCTACGCTGTACCTGTACCTGCTGTTGTCCTGGTAACTGGTATAGCCAGAGCTAGCTAGCAGCATGTTGACTGCGTGAAAACAGATGAAACCATTGTGTCAGCTCTGTCATCTTTGATGCTGCCAGTTGTACTTGTACTTGTACTTGTCCGTACAATACAACTTACACGTACTTGAGAACTAACAGGGTTTGTGTATTATACAGCCTGTGGGTGTACAGTACTAGTATAATGGGCACAAGTCAGGCTAGCTATGGCCCAGTATGGGGGTGAGGGTTGTATCCATGTACCTGTGGCCACAGCATGCAGGCTACATTCTGTTCTGAGCATGGGTTCTTTACACTGTTTTGCACAACTGGCTGTTCCTGTTCATAGTGCACATGTGTGTTCATGCGTGTGTGTGTTGGGGGGGGGGGGGGGGGGTACAAACTAGTCCTGTTCTCAGAGCAATCTCTGTAGATCTCTGTAGGTAGAACTCTTGCTACACTGATTTCTGCTTTGACGGCTAGCACTCTGTACACATTCTTGAGAATACCTGGTGCAAATACTGCCACCGGACTTCATAAATAATAGCCTGTCTGTGTTTAGTATGCAAGTCCTGATACCTTTCTATGGGGTTCGCCGACCGCGAAAACTCACATCACGTGGTGTGGTGTTCCAGTTGTACGTAATCGTTTCCAGCCCAATTTTAGCGGGCAGCGGAGTAATAAAAAAAGCACTCTCTGACAGAAAGTCACTGCGCGTATGCAACTCGCCAGCATGATCATGGCAGATATTCGGATTGCGTGCACGCTATCCTTCGTTCGTACGTAGTACGAAACGTATCTGAGACACGTGATGTGAGTTTTCGCCGCTGGAGACCCCATGTGCAGAGTTGCACACTCTTGGAAGCTTATTCACTCTTGCTGCTACTAGTATACTGTATGCTACTTGTACGCAGTTATGTCTTTACACCGCATTCTGTGGGATTCTCGCCGAAGGACGACGGCGCATGCATATATCCCTTGCTGCTCTGAGTCTCTGCTGAATTCTCTGCAAAATTGCAACCACGCTGATACAAGCCAGGGTCATACTTCTTCAAGAACGAGTACGACGAAACAGGATGAAACAGTTGTATGGGCAGATTGAGTACTTCAAGAAATACAGACCCGTACTTGACAAGATACTCCAGTGGCACAGCAAAGGTGCACAAAGAAACTTCAAAGCATACTCATAAATTATAATCGTACACACGGCACAGAGCATGCACCTCGCATCATCCGTTGTAACGAAGTACTAGTTTCTTACCTATGTCAAGTTAGTTGTCCGATGATTGCCTAGGGGAATGAAACTATTAGTTTCAATGAATGCTGTGTGGTGCTCTGTGTCGTGTGTACAATAGCTCTATTCCAACGAATATTGAACACTCTACCCAGCCGGAGGACTCTCATTTGTAAATTATAATGGTCGTAGTACTCAGAACATGCCATAATGGTAATAGGCTTTTGGTATGTCTGCAGTATTTCTGGTATTTTCAGTTACGTGTACTTTTAACGTAACTTTAGTTGGAATGTCTCTGCCCTTTCTTCCCTTGAGTTTGATGCCATTGCGTGGATTTTCTGATGGGTTATGAAGAGAGGCACAGGCAGCTTGGTTCCAGTATTGCAATCCTGATCATCTTTGTACCCTCACTCACTATACACAGACATGTGTGCTGGTAATGGACTGCACTTGAACCTGCTGTTTGACCGGAGGAGTGGGTGCACCAGTGGTTGTCCTCGAAAACAGTCCAGTGCCGGTACGCCGCAAGTGGCTGTACATACAATGTACTCTCCAATCGCCTCTCCTAACACACACCGCAAGGAGTCGGGACAACAAAATAAATAAAAGGCACTTGTTGTGGTAGAGTTCAGTGCCTGGCCTGGACAGGGCTAGCTAGGGATGAATGATTAGATCCAAGCTTATTGGTAGTTTGCGCTATGTCATTTTGTGCTATGTCAGTTTGTACTATGTCAGTATGTATGCCCTTGGCCTTGGCAGTCTGCAGCTGTCCAGTGTACTACTACTACTACCAGTACTACTACAGTACAGACTCAGTACAGTCATGATGTAAATCATGTAGTATTCAGTAGTCATGTACGGTCATGTACAAGTCATGTATGTACATATTCATACTCATAGACATAGGTCTACATGATGTACAGAATCTTGGACGACTTGGATGGTTTGACTCGGTACTTTCCCCTTCTGACCTGACATGATGTCAATCTTCACGATTTTTTGTTTTGCTGAGTGCTGACACGCGACTGTTGCGGGGGTGACTCCGACTGTCGAAGATAACCTCTGCGAACCTGCTTTTCTGCACTCTGATCTGCTGTCGACTTGTTGACTCGACTGCCCTCTGTTCGTGGCCATTCATTCCAATCGTGTTCTGGAACGACCATTGGAACGCGATTTTGTAGGTAGGTTGGTGGCACTGGCACCATCATCGACTACTGTGTTCTCAGTTTAACGTTTCACCTTGGCCTATGACTAGCTCGCCGGCTGCTGTGCTTAGCAAGAAAGGGGTGCCAGCACTTCCGCTAGCCACCCCCGACAGTAGCAGCCAGTCGAGTTGTTGAGCTGGGGCTGTGCTCAGTTTGGGATTCCATGGTCTGTTGTTGATCTTCTGTGTACGTTCCATCGATCGGTGTCGATTCTCCAATACTAGCTGGCAACACAGGTGCACAAGAAATCACTGAGTCTATGCTCTGTAGAACTATCAGCTCACGAAGCGCAGTGTATTATTATTTTTATTTTTTGAAGGACTGCTCCAAAGTCTGGAAGTGAAAGACGTACAACGACGTGCACTGGAAACTGCTCGCATCGCGTGCGCACAGCAGGTCTTCCGCCGATTTGCTCGCTGCCTGGCCCTACCCTAGCCCTCTCGAGATCTCCACTGACTGTGATCCCTAACACACGAGCCGACTCGAGGGTTGTTGTTCAACAAGAATCAAGCCGTGTGTCGATCTAGCGCTGTTGTCGTCTTGGCCTGACGCATCACTGAGGCAGCTCTGGAGTCCCCTTTGAAAGCGGCAATGAGCGTCGACGTTTCTGATGCAGTAGCCTATGGCGAAGCGAATGAGGTGCGTATGTAATTGTTGAACTGTCTCCATGTGGAAGTAAACATCCGTCCTGGTTGTTTCATTGAGTTTCGCTAATTTATTTTTTATTCCGTTGATGAAGATTGCGTTTCATGTGACAGTTCTCGTGTTTCGCCTAATCAGCCGATAATAGTGATATGTCGGTTTCCTACATATCTACACTGCACTGGCAGTAGTGCTTGTTGTGTGTGTGTTCCTGGTATGTACCATGGACCATGGTAGACCTACATCGGTACATGGTGCTGGTCTGGTGCGGACATAGTGCTGATGTATTGTATGCTGAAAATCGAAACAAAACGCATGTCATTAGCGCATAACATAATATTAATAATAATAAAAACACTAGGAATGGGTTTGCTCCCACACTGGAGCTCGCGCTATTCCGCCGACTTGACCTGATATTTGACTGACTCATGACTGCCAACCTAAAAACACTGTACAAGCTTGACTCTGGAGTATGAAGTTGAAGACACCACTGCAGCGGTACTTATGGTTAATATGGTGGTAAAGACACACCTGGCAATATGGCGGTAAACACACGCCTGCCCACACACTGCCAGAAATTTGCAGCCTAGAGAGCGTGTGTGGGCAGGCGTGTGTTTACCGCCATATTGCCAGGTGTGTCTTTACCACCATAATTATTATTATTTTATCAACTGTACAAGCTGATAATCGTAACCAACATTAGCGCATAGGCCAATGTAGAAAAACCAGTATGTACAAGCTGAAAATCGTAACAGCCGCTAGTGTGGCCAGATGTCCTGGTCTATGTTTGTAACCTCGGACTACAGTGTGATTGTAGGCCAAAATGGCCAAAGCTACACAGTGTGTGTGTGTGTGTGTGTGTGTGTGTGTGTGTGTGTGTGTGTGTGTGTGTGTGTGTGTGTGTGTGTGTGTGTGTGTGTTATCTGGCGCTTGTCTTGATCTGTTTCAATCAGAATCAGATCCGCTATCGTTGCTATAAAGAGAAAATCTGTGGGTGCACATCCAGTGCATTTGCAGATTTGCGTGCTTCTCTTGCGACGGGCGTATACATGGTACATGGTACATGGTGTGTGTGTGTATTCATCAGCCTTGCAAGCTGTTGAATGGTGTAATCCCAGCACAAGTTGCTATGTCTAACATAGCTGTTCGCTATCATCGCTTCCACGATGGGCAGGTCTGAGGTGTGTGTGCGTGTGTGTGTGTGTGTGTGTGTGTGTGTGTGTGCGCGTGTGCGTTTTCCTCTGCGTCGATCTCAGTCAGTGAGAGCAGAGTAACCATATGCAGCAGTATTAAATAAGAGCAACTGTGTGCATTTGGAACGTGGCCAAAGCAGACAGAGTAGTTGGTGTGACTTGCAATGTCGACATCAGTGATCAGTGATGTTGACTTTAGAACCATGGTGGTTGGACTCATTGTGTGTTCGTGTGTGTTTGCGTGTGTGTGTGTGTGTTTGCACGTGTGTGAATGTGTGTGCGGGCTGGCATGTGTGTGCATGTGTGTGTGTGTGTGTGTGTGTGTGTGTGTGTGTGTGTGTGTGTGTGTGTGTGTGTGTGTGTGTGTGTGGTGTATTGTGTCACCTGTGGCCATACCTTTTTCAATGTACAGAGCTGCCGTCACAGCATGGACTCGCTAACAGGCAGTGCCTCGTTCGTCAAAGGTCATCACCGCACAACATCGTCAGCCAGCGGGGGTTATCTCGCTCCTCCTGCTGAGGCCGGTCAAGAAGGTTTGGTGCCAACAGCTAATGCCCAGGCCAGCAGGTGAGCACTACTAGTACCGTAATGTCGCGTGCATAAGCCGGATTTGTGCATAAGCCTGTCTCGTGTAGAAGCATGAAATCTGCAACAGCTTTTCGCGTACAAGCCTGTCGCATGCATAAGCCGGGCCAGTACACGAGACGCGCCACGTGTCGCGTGCGTAAGCCGGGCTACTACGCAAGACTGGTGAGCGCGCCTTTTACATGTTCATGTTTGCATGGTACCGTACACTTGCACACGCGGAAAACGTGGGAAGATGCGGAAATCAACACCAGCTGCGCTCGACGGCCATGCAGCACTCTTCAAGCTTCAAACTTACCTTTCCCATGGCATTTTCCGTCTTGTCCCTTGGCAAGTTGCTTGTTTGAAGTTGTTTCGGCGCTCCTCGAACTTTTCACTTGTGTTTGTTGCAGTCTACCCGTAGATAGAACGCATACAAGCCTGGTCATTGAGTGGTGCTTGTCATATAAGCCTGTCTCGTGTATAAGCCTGTCTTGTGTACAAGCCTGACTCCATCACCGGCTTATAGGCATATAAGCCCCGGCTAATGCACGCGACATTACGGTATGCTGCAGTGCACTATGCTGCTATGCACTATGCTGCTATGCACTATGCTGCTATGCACTATGCTGCTATGCACTATGCTGCTATGCACTATGCTGCTATGCACTATGCTGCAGTCACCTGCTATTCTCATCAGTGTACAGTATGTTGAACTCATTTGCCGCTGTCTGATGATCGGTGAAATGCGTGGAACTGGAAGTTATAGCTACACAGCCTTTTGCCTGCGCTGTTTGTGTGTACTACTCTGCACATTTGTACATCGAGCACTCTGCTATTCTCATCAGTGTACAGTACTGTAAGTCGGCAAATTTTCAGCCCGTTAAAATATCAGCCTCCCAGGGCTAAAACCCATTTCGGCCACATCAAATGTTCAGCCTGTACTGCTGTCGCATGTGTCCACTGTCACACTGAACCTTGCAAAACAAAATTTCGACCGCAACGAATTTTCGGCCAAACTTGACCAGGCCGAAAATAGCCGAAAATAAAATAAAATTTTATATGCGCCGAATATTTGTAGACTTACAGTACCGTATTTTACCGGTTATAGGTCGACCCCCGTATCCGGAGGTCTCAATTCTGCGTTTTAAAGTTTTCACCCAAAGAAGCACTACTAACCACTCCCTGCTATTAACACATCAACAAATCATGTAAACATTCCTTATTGGAGGTTATAACATCCCAATCCTTGAAAAGACCAATAAACTGGAAAAAAATGTGTACACATAGTGCACTCGTGCATGCAGTGCAGGTCATTTTTTTGTAAGATACTGATAGTTCCCGGTTATAAGTCGAATCCCGGTTGTAAGTTGACCCCCACCCTTTCTCCTTCTATTTTAAGTCGTAAAAGGTCGACTTACAACCGGAAAAATACGGTATGTTGAACTCATTTGCCACTGTCTGATGATCGCTGAAATGCGTGAAACTTGAAGTTACAGCTACATGGCATTTCGCCTCCGTTTTTATGTAGACTGCTCTTGCACATTTGTGCATCGAGCACTCTGCTTCGCCTCGACCGGCCTTGTTTGTATGTTGTACTCGTAGATAGGTCACAAACTCACTCTGTGATCTGCAGCACCATGAGCTGCTTCATTCATTCTCCGTACTCGTCTACCAGAAATAGTCACTGATGGATTTTGGAGAAAAAACATTTCTGTCAAAACGAAGTGTTGGCCGTGTTGTGGGTTAGTGTTTCTTTTGATAATTGCCGTCTTGACTGGTACTAGAGTTTCCGTGTACAGCACTATGTAGAGTTTTCATATGTCTGAAATCGCGCGTACACAGTTCATATGGTCCACTGTTTTGCACTGCAGCTCGCAGTCGCTCAGCTGCACTATCAACTGAGTGCAGTATGTAGCTTTGACCAGCAAGGCAATGAACACGAGTCGTCTTGGCAACTTTGGGAGTTGTCTTGGTAGATAGGTGGTAGATAGTGGTCTCTCAAGTGCAGACTAACGTCTTCTCTTGTGAAATCTGACGGCAGTAAATTCCATTTTCCTTTCCTGAATGATTGGAATAATTTGATTCCATCGACTGCCATTCCGAGTGGCTGTGCAATGAGGTACATGCGATTTGGTACTCTCAGCTTCCTGCTAACTCACTCCATTCCAATTGGGCACGTGATGAGTTGCATGTGTTTTGGACATGATGATTGTGAGAAAGGTTAGGCAAAACATGCGCTGTCTGGTTTACTGAGTGAAATAGTACAGTGTATCGTCTTAGCTGCCTTCTGTTGCTCCTTTTCCGTTCGGGCATGTGTGATGGTTTGACGTGTTCTGTTGCATTTGTTGCGTTGTGATCAGGAAAATGGCAGGTGACACGTCGCTGATTGAGAACTACGAATTCCAGGGAATGTACCATATATTTGATCACCATCGAGGTGCAGGTGAGCTTAGCTGCGGAACCTGTCTGTCTGTACATGTTGGGATGGTGATGGTGGTGATTATGTGCTTGTCTTCGTCTGTTTGTCTTCTGCTTGTCGTCTCCCGCCTCTTCCCACTACACACAAGCTGAGTGGCACCTCTGCACTGGCTTGTTGCTGGTCTGCCACTGTTGGTGTTGCTGCCACTGCTGGTGTTGCTGCCACTGCTGCTGCTACTGCTGCTGCTGTTACTTGCACTGTTGGTGTTGCTGTTGCTTGCACTGTTGGTGGCGCTACAACAGCAGTTGCTGACCAGTCACTGACTGTGCTGCTGCTGCTTCTTTTGCTGCATGTGCTTGTGCTACCACCACGGTTGGTGCAATCGCTGTTGCACTTGCTGCCATTCCAGTTGATGCTTCGGTTGTAGTGTGGGAGAGTTCACGAGTTGGTTGTGTGTGTGTGTGGCAGCAACAGTGTGGTGAGCTTCAGTGTCTGGAAATGTTCGACTGGCAGTGGGTACTATCTCTCGTGGTGTGGTGTGTTAAATCCTATGTTCATTAATGTATGTAGAGTATTGTACAAGAATTGCTTTCCCTTTTGGGGGTGGGGAATACAGCACAATCTAATGTACATTGATGCGTGTTGTGCTCGGATTGCTCTCATGCAGTGACCGCTCTGAAGTTTGGTCATGACGATCGCACGAGGCTAGCCATAAGCTCGACTGACGGCACGCTAACGATATGTCGCCTGGAGCCTATTCCAGCGTCGGTTGAACACACTCTGTTGGGTCACACCAAGGGTGTTACAGGTGAGAACGATTTGTCTTGTTGCACCTAGCATGGGGGGGGGGGGGGGGGGGGTTGCGTTGTTGTCAAAATTCGTTAGAGCATGGGCCTTCCAAACACAGGGTTGCGAGTTTGATTCCCAGTTTGTGCGAAGATTATTTTCCACCCCCAGTAGACGCATCTGGGATTAGATTCCTGACTTTGCTTGGCGAGGCAAAGGCGAAGAGGGGGAGGAGAAAAGCACCACCCTCACTATGTGAGAGCTCATTGGTCTCTAACACCCACTGTACCCTACAGACAGAATTTACATTATTTTACGTACCTCGTGGTCTGCAGAACGCTTTCGCGATGACACAGCTGTGTGTGTATGTATCTGTTAATATGGACCATGAGGAATAGACTGACGCCACCGTGTGCGCATGTGTCCGTGACCATGGACCACGCGGCATAGGCGTGTGGTGGGATTACAATGCATTCTGAGAGCTGACGTTGGAATCCCCAGTTTGCTATCAATCAGTGACCTGCATGGTCTAGGTCCCCCCCCCCCCCCCCCCCCCCCGTGTCCATCTGTAGAGGTTATGCGAATGACAAGATGCTGGTGATGCCACTCCCATACAGAATGCCATGAATAGTAATGAAATAGAGTCTGCATAGTCTTGGGCTTACTGGTGACTGTTGTGTCTGGTGTCCTGTCCATGACTGTGTTGAGAACGGCAGGCTATTATGGCACGATGCGAGTGTAGTGGATCCCTTTCTCTGTGCAGTCATGCTCAGGGACTGTCTCTTTCTTTATTGGCTGTTAGACTGGCCATGGGGACGGTAGAATGGAGATGGGAGGAGGATTGGAGAAAGAGGGGGGGGGGGGGGTGCGTGCAAGAATCTGTGTGTGATGTGTATATGATTAAATGTGTACACTAGCTCTACCTGACTGCAGGCCCTGTTCTAAGCACTAGATATTCTGTTTCTCCTTTGTGACACTGTCTCTCCTTGCCATGTGCGCGTGTGTGCGTATGTGTGTGCGTGTGTGTGTGTGTGTGTGTGTGTGTGTGCATGTGATTTTTTTGTACAGATTTTGACTGGTCTCAGTCGAACGACTTCATTATCTCTTCGTCTCTAGATTGCACTGTTCGGTTATGGAACACGGAGAGCGGTTCTTGCTTGCGTAGCATATCACTAGGTGCCGAGGTCTACTGCTGTCGCTTCCAGCCCAGTAACAACAACATGTTTGTGTGCGGCACGGCAAAATGCCAGCTGCATGTCTTCAATGTTTCCACTGGCAAGTCGTACAAGGTGAGCACTCCACTGTTCTCAGCTAAAGTGTTGCTCAATGAAATCCGATCAAGCGAGTGAATGCCATGCCGGGCGCTGCGCAGCCCTAGACCTGCGAACACTGGGATGTACACTGGCGTAGGGCGCGAACTTGATTCACGCGATCGGACTTCATGAGCAGCATTGTACATGTACAGTGCATCATGTATGCAGGTCTGTGTAAATGAAATTCCCCTATAAAGATGCCACCGAAGAGATCGTGAGTGTGTGGGTCATGTGTGTTCGTATGCAGTACTGGTGGAAGCAGTTTTGGATTGGTGCGGCCATACCATAACCCTTCACGCATTGTGCATGATATGGCAGGTGCACATCACCACCTCATGCGCTGATGGCTGAAAATCTGGTCCGGCCAGGGCCTGACCAACCGGACCAGTTCCACTGGGCCTGCTTTGTGTGGCTCCCTTTTCCAGAGTGAAATGACTGGAAAGTGGAAATGACATATATAGCATTGGAACTGGTGATAACTGATAATGTTACTCTGTAGCAGCTGTCCACCTTACCAGGGTGCTGGCCTTGACACCTACCTCTGTAGTCTCTTACACAAAGCATGCATGGGTACAAATTAACCTCTGTAGAGGTATGCTCTAGCCTCTGTGTTCCAGTGACGTTTTCTTGCGGGCAGTTTTGAGTCAGCTGCTTGGTGGTGGTGTATGTACAATTTAATATCAACCTGGCAGTTCAAGTGAATTGAGCTCTGAAGAATCCAGTGATTCCCAGTGAGACTCCAGCAGTGCCCAGTTGTTTTTGTATAGTAGTGTACGTACTTTAAAGAACTGTACCCACTCATTGTCTTCCACTGGTTTTGTTCCACCGAGCCAAGTTTTTAGAGTAGAGGAACTCCTATTAAAGGATGTGAATAAAAGTCCCGAAATTTTTGTTTCCGGAGGAAAGTTTTTGTTTCCGGAGGAAGTACTAAAGAGAGCACAGACTTTGCATTTGTTTTTGATTACTTGTGGTACGGATGCTATGTACTGTTAGCAGTGCATTTGTATACGCTATTTGTAATCCCAGAAGCCAGTTGATTGTGTTTGCTTTGTTTAGTGAAGTAGACATGATTGCTCGCTGCGGTGCATGTGTATGTATGGGTGCGCGTGCGTGCGTGCATGTGAGTTTATGTGCATCTGTCTGTGCATGTGTGTGTGTGGTGGTCTGTGTTTATTTCCCCACCCTTATCATGTTATTGGCGTGCAGGGCAGTGGTGGAAAGACGAATGGTCCCGTGTCTTGTGTGTCGTTTGATCGCAATGGTGAGGTGGTGTGGGCTGGCGATGCAAAGGTCAGTACTGCTCGTACCCGATAATGGCCGATATATTCCATCACTATCCTTTCTTGCTGTGTCGGGTATCAATAGGAAGACGTGTTCAGTGTCCGGTCTCAGCTAAACTGTGCCTGTCCTAAACTGTCCTGTGCCAGCCATGCATAAACCCTGGGTCTCTTTTCTCTGCACTGCCGGTAGAGACGTGTTCAGTGTCTGGTCTCAGCTAAACTGTGCCTGTGCTGAACTGTCCTGTGGCAGCCATGCATAAACCCTGGGTCTCTTTTCTCTGCACTGCCGGTAGATTGAGTAGCTTCCTTGGTGCCATGGTAGACCAGGTGCACGCAATACATCCTGTACTTTCCATGGGTCTTGAATCTTGATTGCTTTAGAGGGAGCTGGTGAACTCACTGTTTGCATGCGCTGTTACTCGTGTCAGCAAATGCATGTGTTCAGTGGCATGAACTTGGCTTGCCACATACGATCTGTTGTGTGAGCTTGGCTTACTGGTAGGCAAGCTTGATGGCAGCCTATCCGGCCTCAACTTTACTGTTAGTGGCTCTGAGTCAATTGCCTGTCCTCTCTCAGCGCTGCTACAGTTGTATTCTCCTTCAGCAACACACTTGCCTGCAAAACGGTAGTTCTGTGTTGTACTGTGTGCTGTGTGCTGCAGGGATTCTTATACTGCTTCTGTTTCCACATTGCAACGGGCAGAATGCAGAAAACCAAGAGGTCAGTGCTGCTGACCCAGTGTTGTGTCTTACCGCTGACTACATAGTACACTCCCTGAGGGCCTGTTGTTCTACTGTTGAATACATGGAGCCCGGGTGCTTGTGAGCATTCCATATGTCCGTGTATTCGGTGTGTTGCACACCCGTGTTGCGATCATTTGCCAACGCACGTATAGAAGGGCGTTGGCATCTGGTTTGCAATCCGCACAGCATATTTTCATGAAGCCGGGAGTGTTGAGGAGAGTTTGTAGTCTGTCTTGCACTCATTGCGAGTGAATGATCTCCTTCCTTGCATAACTACTATACACCCGCACATTGCAACTCACTTAATACCCTGATAAGATGTCCATTTGCTCTGTATGGACATTTCCGGGAATGGACTTTCCTCCATAGTAAAGCTTGTTTGAATAACAAGTAATATGTAAAGAGAAAAGGACCTATAAGTTACTAAAATATCTCAATATCATTGTCAGTTGTGTGCCTTGTTGTCGCACTATCTGACTATATAATTATTATCTCGTTACCTTCGGACTGTTAGTCATAACTAGTAACTTATAGGTCCTTTTCTCTTTACATAGTACTATTGGCTCAACATCCGAGTTTAGAATAACAAGTACAAGACTTAGTACTGTTACTATGTTTAACTGTTACCTGCTCTTTCCCATCCCAGCGGGCACCTCGCATCTGAGATCCCATGTATGTCACAGATACATAGTATTGTACTTGATGTGTCTGTGTTGCAAACCACTACTAGTAGATCTAGTGTGTCTGTGGTGGGGGGGGGGGGGGGGGGGGGGGGGGGCAAACTGTCTTCCTGTTTACACTAGTCAGCAATGTCATTGCATCTATCTTGTTGCTGAGGCTGCCACTTTTTTTTTGCTCTCTCTCTCTCTCTCTCTCTCTCTCTCTTTATTGCCTGGCTTGCTCTGCAGGACATTGGTGTCGCTTGGCAATCAGATCACCTCCATTTCATCACGTAGCTGGATGAGTCGTGAAGCAAGGGATCCCTCACTGCTTGTCAATAGTATGCAGAATGGCCTGCTTCTCTTCAGGTAATTTTGCCACTACAAACGTACCAGCATTGAGAGATAGCTCTATAGAACTGTAACCGTAGAACCAGTCTTACCAGGGGCCCCTCGGGACTCAGAATATTCCGTGACTCGGAAATATGCTACTTCGAGTAACTTATAGTTGATATGACACATCATTCTCTTCAGTCACCTCCCACCGCTTTGGGAGCTGCATATGCACCTTGATACTTGAAGGGTGATGATGTTCCTACGGTTGCGGAAAACTCGTCTTCCAGCCGAGCCCCACGCAAACCGTCGATTTTTTTCTCTTCAGTTAGATTCACTGGTCCCAGCCAGACTGATGCCCTTCACAAACACTAACGCTCGCAGTCAGTCGGTGGGAGCTGAGGGTAGTACTCTTGTATGTGGTCAAGAAGTTCAGCTGACCACCACGACAAGTGACAAGTGCGTGCCTGAGCGGTGCCCGGATTAGAGACGTTCTACTTTATCATTTACAGTGTCTGCTGACTTTCCATTTCTTTAAATGTGCAATGTTTCTCTGCGTGTCTCTCCACCACTGTGTCCGCCCCTTGCTCTCATTCACCCCCTTCTCTCTCTCTCTCTCTCTCTCTCTCTCTCTCTCACTCTCTCTCTCTCTCTCTCTCTCTCTCTCTCTCTCCCTCTCACTCTCTCTCTCTCTCTTCATCTCTAGCTGATAGTTATCCTGTGGCAGTGCTCTTCTTCCAATTAGGGGTACTTATGTTACTACTCTTTATTCGCTTGTGTATTAGAATAAACCCGGATGACTCGCTGGTGTTGAAAAGACAGTTCTCAATTAAGCACAGCAAGGAAACTATCCGCAGTATCTTCTGTCCACTGATGTCATTCAGACAAGGAGCCTGTGTCGGTAAGGACAAGTCACCTCTTCTCGTGTGTCTACGGAAACACAAACGATCACAATGAGCGGCAGTGCTGAGCTGCTCACGTAGTGCGTGTGTGTGGGGGGGGGGGGGGGGGCACTGGATCTTATTCTGCTTTCCAGCTGTCGTTGCCCTTGCCCCCATGACTCTATTTTGTAAAACCCCTAAATAGACAATATGCGCAATAGATTCCAACTGTGTGTTGTGCCAAGGTATTGCGCATGGAATGTGTTGTGCTTTGTTTCCTTTTTCCGAACTGCCATGTTGTGTGTTTAGCCGCGATGCTGACTTGACTTTGCTCTTTCTCTGTTTGTTACTGCTTGCTGTGCATGCGTATGTCTGCCCACGTCGTCGTGTGTGCGTGCGTGCACGGTCTGCCCACGTCGTCGTGTGTGTGCGTGTACATGTTTGGCCCGACCCATTGTGTTTCTTCTGTAGTAAGCGGCAGTGAAGATCTTAGTGTGTACTTCTACAATGTGGATGAGGTGCAAAAGCCCATGGTCAACAAACTCCAAGGTCACTCCGCTGCAGTCATTGCTGTCTCATTCAACTACAACGAGTCCTTACTGGCGTCTGGTGATTCTTCGGTAAGGCTCCTGTCTGCTGTGTACCTCTCTGTATATTGTGTGTATATTGTGTGTACACGTTGTGCTTGCCGAGTTGCCACTAGTAGCAGGTGCAATGACAGTGCTGCTGCGGCTGCTGTGCTGCTGCGGCTGCTGTGCTGCTGCGGCTGCTGTGCAGCTGATTTTGCTGCCACTCCTGGTATTTGAATGCGGTCATGCGTGTGTGTGTGGGGGGGGGGGGGGGGGGGGGAGGGGGTGCGTGCTTGCGTGTATGCGTGTATGCGGTCATATTATGGGGCTTCGCCAGTTATGTAGACTGGACAGTTACCTGGCGCACGTCTTGATCTGTTTCATTCAGATCTTGTCTGCTACCTTTTGCTGAAAGAGAAAATTAGCAGGAGTACGTCCACATTTTCAGATGTGTGTGCTTCTCTTGCGCTGGACATACATGGTACATGGTGTGTGTGTGCACGCACACGCACATCCATGTGTAAAGCTGTGTTCACAATTGGCGCGTGGACGCGGTGCACTTGCGGTTCATGTGTGCCCAAACGCGCGCTCAGGCTTTCGCGCCGCCTTCGCATACTAATTGTTTGACCCCACCGATCAAAGTGCTACTAGCATGACGCCAGTACGTGCTGAAAATTACGTGTTGGAATTTCCATCGCGGCGCGTTTCCATACGCATGACGCCCCAAAAGCCAGCGAAAATACACACAAACTCGTGGTTTCACGCATACACGCGCCAGTTGTGAACACAGCTTTAGGCTGGATGTGTGTGTGGGGGGGTAATTTGTAAATGGTAGGCCAAGCATGTTGTGTTAAAGGTAGGCCAAGCATGTTGTGTTAAAAAAATGTGTCTGACTTGTGCTAATCTCACTATGTGTATTGCTGCTGCTGTGCTTTGCTCTATGCTCAGGGTACTGTAATTGTTTGGAATCGGCAAGAATAGTCACTTGGCTGCTGTGACTCACACTACATGCCATTGCAGTCTGGCACAGAAACACGACTGTAAGCTCTAAACCGGCTCTCTTCTGCCTCCAAGCATGGGTATACGTGATAGGCAGCACTAGTTGCTTGCAATCCACAGTTTTGCAGTGCAAGTAAAGTAGTTGTTTTCACTACTCATCTACTGTCTGTCCTATTTACTCACCTCCTCCTGTCCTATCGTTGAAAAGTACTTTTGGTCTTATCTGCAGCCTAAACAAATTGTTTAGAACATTTAGATTTCTCCAAACTCCTTAGTAGTATTAGTAGTAACGTGGACTGCCATGATGTTGCTGCTGACAGTGCGTGCAGGCTTGGAATACTGTGCTTCGCCTCGCTTTCCTTGTGAAGCGTGTGTTCTTGTCTAGTGCATCATCTTGAATTTATACCTACTGTCCGCCATATCTCCTATGTACTCCTTATCGCCCTGGTCAAATATTTTCTACATGATGATGATATCTAAGTACTGTATTCATTTTGTGTGGTGTAATCACACAACGTTTCACTGTTTGCTGCTGTCCTTTCGGAACTGTATCTCGTGAACAACCTTTTCTTTAGCTCGTCCAGTGCTTTCATACCCGTGTATGTGTACAATTTGTTTGTTTGCCAAACGAAAAGTAAGTCATCACTCCCATTGTTTGTAAGTGTATCCATAGCCACAGGAATCATGTCACCTGTACCCCTTGTCTTTCTCTCTCTCTATTCTGATTCTATTGTTTAGAGCTCTTCATTATTTTTTTAGTAGTATAGTTGCAGTACTGAATTTGCGCATATTGTGAGCGTATCATTTTCTATTGTGAAGTAGTTTTTCTTCTCTGATGTACATTTCCCTATGACTGGTTACTCTCACTGTCCCTTCCCCCTGTTGTATAGATACTGTACTCAGCCCCCCACTTGTACATATTATTATGACGTGTTACTATTTCTGTTGGCCGGCCATTTTTTCAATATCACACTCCAATTGGAGAATAAGACTGCTGCAAATTGTTTTGTTGTTGCGATACGTGTGATTGTTTGTGTGTCGTCTTTTAGTGTGACTTCCTGGTGGTGTGTCCTGGGTGGGGAGTGAGCGTGTCATTGTGTAAATCTGCCGGTGGATGTGTACAGCTGTGTGTTCCCACCAACTTGTAGTGATAGGGCATCTGGGGCGATGCCCTCAGTCCTCGTCGCGATTTCTTTTTTGCCCTCTTGCTTCACTTGGGCCTGCGAGATCGATGAAACACTTTCCTGTCACAGGTGAGCTAGTTGAGAAAGTCGATGATCAGTTTGGTTTGCTCGAGTAGTTGATCAAAAAATTGCTGGAAAAGCCGTGTCCACCTCTTTTATAACTAAAAGCGACATGCCCAAAATTTCTGCACCTTGCGGAAAGTGCACAATCCAGAATCCCGGAATTCAGGTGTACAAATTGCGGACGACCCCTTACCTGATAAGTTCTGCTGTCCTCTCCCCAAATTTTTGTAAAAGCAATGCGCTCCCGTACCATGTGGTGATTCATGTCAGAACGGCCGTACACAGATGTAGTTGACAAGAGAGAAGACATGTACCGGTGATAGTTGAGTCGACGCGACGACGTTACGTTCCCATGTTTTAATACTAAATACCTGAATAGCCTTGTGATGGTCCTTGTACTTGCAGTGGGTACTTTTTTGTAGTAATTTTAATTACTAGTAGTAGTACCAAATTATTTGGCACTTTTGAACTTGTGCAATGCCTTATGATTGTAGTCCTGGTAGAAAAGGGGGAAGAGGGAGTAAACGGAGAGGGACCAGGTGGTGTTCCATCCCAGGGAGCCAGCCCCCATCCCCTCCCCCCCCCCCCCCTGTTCCATCCCAACCGAGGGAGTACTAAAATCCTGCTTTTTTTAAAAACTTTGTTTTACTTCGCAAAATCCACTTTGCTTATTTTTGCAGTTATGTTCCCAACCCTTCAAGTTTTGTTTTTTGTTTGTTTTTTATTTAAAAGTTCGGCCAGTATGACTACAACAGTATTCACTTTGTCTTGGGGGGTTAGAAATGGGGAAGTTGTCATCCAGGGGCGGTGAGCCCGCCTTTCGGCACCGGGAATACTGTTGTCAACAAGGCTGAGAGTTGTCAAGTAAATCTACGTATTTGACGACTCCGCGGTTGTCGGCCTCACATTGCATATCGGAGCTTCGAGCGGAGACACTGTTATGTCTCCGCTCTCTGCTCCTCACTCAGGGTCGTTCTCGGCACTAGTGCCGGTGGTTGTGAGACTTATCCACTCACCCCCACCGTTAACGTTAGGCGCTGCATCTGCCGCTAGGGTTTACTGGGTGTTAGCGGCCGTCGTGAGTTCCCTTCGGGAACGGACACGATAATTTACTCTTTTTTTCTGCTCCTGAGTCCTCATACGATCCTTCACAGCACAATGTGCCATTGCTTGTGAAATGGGACACTGTCGGGTTAGTTTTGGCTTACCCACTACTACAATGTAGCAGTGTTCTGGTCTTCTGTTAGACCTGTTTGTACTCAATTATTTGCAGTATGTATCTCCTTTTTTTTTCTTTTCAACGGTGACTGCAGCCCTATTCGAGTCCTGGTGGTGACCATGGTGACAGCTGGTTCAAGTAGTGAGTATCAGCTTCGTTGGGATACAGTACTCAATGACAATGCCTACTTTTTTTTGTAGCCTGCTTCTGTCTCAGTGTATTAATGCTACTAGCTAAACAATCGACGAGGAGACAATAGTCGTAAAATGGCAATAAATAATAATAAATTGTGCACTCATAAGTCATAACAACAGCAAAAAATGAAGAAAATCAAGTTCTAAACTTGACTTTCTTCATTTTTTGCTACTAGTCATAGTTATTATTTTAATTAATTATTTTTTATTTAATACACTTACAGTATTACTCTGGCCTGAAACGACCCACTCTCCTTTTCAAGCTGCAGCTGCACTGCTGTAGGCCTCCGTGAATAGGACAAACGAAAAGAAGACGCCCCTTGAACCGTACAAGACGCTCCCATGAATATAGGACAAATGAAAAAAGACGCCCCCTTGAACTGCAATTCTGAGGCCTCCATGAATATAGGAGAAATGAAAAGAAGACGCCTCCTTGAACTGCAAGAGGCCTCTAATGAATAGGATAAATGAAAAGAAGACCGCGCGCTGGCCGCGGCCCCCTTGAACTGCAAGACTTTTACCACTAGTACTACCCCACGTCCACGACGGCACGAGTTACAGCACTGACTCTGTCAGCTGCTTTCTTCCCACCGGTGACCCAAGCCAAGGCCAACCCTCTTTACTCTCGAAACTCCCTAATTCTCCACCGCGAACCGTGATTTCCACTGGCACTGTGACTGACAGTGTACTACACGTAGTGTGAGCTTTGGACGGGCTCACACACTGTACTCTGTAGACTGTAGTGTAGTGCTTGCTATCCGAGAAACAGCGATCTATGCTGTATGCAGCGTGGTTGTAGTTATCACTCTTGCCAAGAGCATAGCTGCATTGTGCATCAGTGTGTGCTCAGTGACGGCAGTGTGGCAATGGTGACCAATAAAAACCCACAATAATGTAAAGTACTATCGCCAGGCTAAAGACATAAGTGCAGTAAAAGCTTGGGACCTCCCTGAGAGAGCACTTCACTGCTTGCCTTTACACCTGGTCTAGTGAAATGCCAGTCTTCTACTTGAGTAGTTCTCCCTGCTTTACACCGTGGAGTAGTCACACTGTTTGCCTATACACCTTGGACGAGTGAACTGAAGTGCCAGGTACCTGTAAAGTGTAAACTGTAATGTTTTGTTCTGCATGCTTTAAAAAAAAAGAAAAAAAAGAGTTAATTATCGTGTCCGTTCCCGAAGGGAACTCACGACGGCCGCTAACACCCGGTAAATCCTAGCGGCATGCTTTGCATTAGCATAATTCACATCCCTCCTTCTATGATGTATCAGTAGTCTCCGACCTCTTTTGTTGCATAGTGATGATCTGAAGCTCACCATTCCCTCCCTTCAGTTCTGTCCGTTCGGTTTGCGAATTCAAATACAGAAACTGTGACAACACCAACACTCTCCAGCAAATAATTGCCATTCAACGGTTAAAAGCAGCTCATTGGTAGACAACTCCTGCACAATACATGTAATATGCTGCAGAGCTGGTTCTGTATGGCCTTTGATTAAATTGAGATTGTAGCTGCTTGATGATTGCATTGCGATGTGATCATGAAACCCAAAGTAACTTAGTTAGTTGCAACGAGCTAGCCTTGAGACGTTGTGTCACTGTTGCCGTACTGGGTGCTGAGATGCCGGTGTGGGTTCATGGTGGGGGTGGTGGTGGTGGGGATATGAGGGGACAACTATCTCCGGCATGTGTAAATGGTATTCTTCGTTGCACGTGTGCTCCGAGATTAGTATTCATAGCCCTATGGACAAAGTAATTAGTTGAACCCTGTGCTATGGAACGGAGTATTCATTATTGTCACAACTATTCAGCTACATCATAGTACATGTACAATGTACAGTGTATGTTCAAGTGGTCCAGGTTGCACATGAGGTAGAATCTACATGGCTGTACTCAGTATTTATTTATTTATTTTATTTCACCTCCACATGTAGGGGGAGGGGGCGATAACCATCTAGCCATGGCAGTACAGAATACAGCACTGCAGGCAATGCCTCTTTCTCCTCCGTACCCAAGTACGCTGTAGACTTGCAGCAAGAGTACATAACCTTGCAGTACAGTCATTAGTAGTTCCTGTACATTGCACATTATTATTCCAGGCACGGTCCAGTGACTAGTTGTGGCTTATAGCATAACCCACGCATCTCAGCCTCAGGAGATCGTCCCAACTGGTTACTTCAATTATTTTCCAGTAGCGCCCCTGGAGTCCGGGTCATGCCAACGTACATGTACATGTACATGTATTCATGCAGTGTTCTGGGTTCGAGGGACACGGCACACACACACACACACGTGACATGGTGGAGTTCAGGGAGCACATACACGGTATGTGTAGGGCTCCCTGGCCTGGTGGAGCTGTGGCTGTTCATGTAATTGTTGCAAGGTTCTATCCTCGGACTATATCCAGAAATCATAGAGGCCTCAGCGACTGTGAAGTTTGAACTGAGTTCCTGACCCCAACCATGGCGGCTTGTGCTGGTGTCACTGTGCCTGTGCCTCGCCGCATTTTGTGATTTATTTTAATAGTACGTTGTAGAATCTACATCGTAAAAAAAACAGAATTGATCTTGTCAGCATCGTCACCAGCAGCAGCCCGGCCCTCTCGGCTTCGCGTCGACATTGGCGTCATTGTAGCCATGGTAACACAGTCATGATTGATCTAATGCCGCTATACAATGACATTATTATGTACATGTACAATGTAGTCTCCCAACCAATCGATGCTGATAAGATCAATAGTGTTTTTACGATGTGCAATGTACTAAAATAATTTAATTTAGTGGTTTAAATTAATCACAAAGTGCAGACTGAGGGCCAGGCACTGGCACACCAGCACAAGCCGCCATGGTTGGGGTCAGGAACTGAGTTCACAGTCTGTAGATCTACAATGTAGAGCAGTCTCCCATTCAATCGGGTACCGGTATAATGCTATAGGCTGAACAGGCTAGGCTTGCACGTACCCGACCACCCCGGGAGAGGTGCATTTACTTGCCATCTTGACATCCAAACAAACAGGATGCACGGGATCTACAATGTACGAGTAGGACATGTAATGTATGGTCGCATAACCATGACAGCAGTCGCCTCTCGGACTCCATACACAGAGAGAACTATTAGTACTCTAGGGACAATATCCATTACATGCCCATGTAGTGTGATCTATTACTATAAGTCGTGTCGAAGCATGAAAGCCATACCGTTACGTGAGCGGATTTGAAAGCGGAAATGAATCATTGAATGGGAGCTGAGCCATGTGAATGTGGGAGTAGCGGTACATGACCAGTCTGTCCAACCCTGCCATCATTCCAAAGCAGGACACCCACACTATAATGCATAAAAAGGCAATTGTCTCCTATGTACAAGTAAATGCACACTGAAAATGTTTTGGTTCAAAGCAGGACGGTTGGACATCCTGCATGATTGTAGATCTACTGGACGACTGTCTGGGTTGAGTGGAGCACACTACAGTAGTAGTTCATCAATCACTCATATGAAGTCATATCGCGAACGTTCTGTGATGAATGTGTGCAATCATCTTGAATCCCCTCCACTGAATCCCTGATACTGATACATGTACAAGGCTTCGTGACCTCACCATTGCGGTTTGGCTACCATACCGTCGAATAGATGGTTCACTACCGGCCCTAAATCAGCAAAATTTCGTCTACACTGACAATAGACGAATAGTACCATGCAGACTGAAGAGTGCTGTACCGCGTTACTTACTACCAAGTTTGATTATATCCGGCAATCAAAGAGACTCCCTAGGAAATGGGTAGCGGGAGAGAAAGAAAGAGAAGAGAGAGGAGAGAGAGAGAGAGAGAGAGAGAGAGAGAGAGAGAGAGAGAGAGAGAGAGAGAGAGAGAGAGAGAGAGAGAGAGAGAGAGAGAGAGAGAGAGAGAGAGAGAGAGAGAGAGAGAGAGAGAGAGAGAGAGAGAGAGAGAGAGAGAGAGAGAGAGAGAGAGAGAGAGAGAGAGAGAGAGAGAGAGAGAGAGAGAGAAAGAGAGAGAGAGAGACATTGGAGAGAGAATAGAGAAAGATCGTATAAAGGGTTGAGGATGTGATCGTGACGGTGTGCAACACGTTGTTCTGGCTAGATGTTACTGTACCTAAGTCCTTCACAGTCATGCAGAAAGCCCAGCTGTATCGTTGCTGGCGTTGAGTAGATCTACATGTGTGTAGCGGTTTCCAGCCTGCCAAAAAGACCCCTGGGCTGGCTGACGGCGTCCAGCATGCCAAAAAGACCCCTCTTCTGTTGTAACTGTAAATCTGGTTTCCATGGCCTTCCCACAATGACTGTAATCTCTACATGTACATGTATCTCTGGCTTGTGATCGTGTTCTCATGCACATCTGACATGGACTTTGACAGTGGCTGGCAGGGAGTTGTAAAGGGTACGACTCCATGGTGGCTGGCCTACTAAAAGCGTGGGGCAAGGACAAAATGTAAAAATACTGTACCCTGTCTGCATGCAGTCAAGTAAGAATGCTCAACTACAAAGACAATGTACAGTAGGCAAGAGAGAGAGAGAGAACACACCGTAATGTAGGTGTACAATGTAGATCTACATGTACTTGGGATGGCAGATCTACCATCCCTTCCTCAACCAACTATCTCCGGTATTCCGTAGAAATGTAAGGCAAAGATCCCAGTGCCGGATCTATTGTACTGTGCCTGTGATCGGCGCTTCGCCCCCTCACGTCATTGGAATTTATTTGGATTGCTCCCTACTACTACTAGTAAATCTACTAGACCCTAGTTCAGTTTATAGGTTCATAGGTTCATGGGGTCGTGTCGCTGCACTGGGCTGCACCATGTACCAGTTGAGTGCACGACCAGATTATGTAACTGGGCGGATCGAATGCAAGATCTGAATTACTTCAGTGAAGGGTGTGCGAATCGGTACATGACCATTATGTAGGGCTAACCAAGATCGCCCATGCAGCAGAAGGAATCCCCAGTAAAGGCAGCAGTGTACTAGTGTACGATCACCATGCAGTGTACGATCACCATGCAGTGTACGATCACCGTGCACCATGCATTGCGCAGAAAGACAACTACAGTATGCCGTCTTCTTCACACCTTTTGTACTAGGCGAAACTATCATCATTCATCAATCTCCCTGCTGAATCTGCTGATTGTCGAGACATGATGATGATGTCAGTTGATGATTGGCCACCAACGCTCAACGCCTCTCGTATGCATTTGTGCTGGAATGACTATGAGTATGACATAGCCATTGTACTGTATTGGAAGTGATTGACGACCTTGAATAGGCATATGAACACCCTCCACTGGCTCTAGTTTAGCTGATGTGACACACTCGGACTCTCACATGATTGTAGTCGCTCCTGATCTCTCACCGCCTTCCTTCTACCCCGGGCCGTGGGAATGGACGCCAAGATAGTGGAAGATGGCATGTATCAGCGACTCATCGGTGTAACCAGTAACCTGGCTAGGTAGAGAGTGGGTCGTGAGGTGCATGAAAAGGAGTGCAACGTCAAGTTGCGATCTACAGTCTATCCCGGACCTTCACTCTTCAGCTGGCCTACCGGACGTGCCTGCAGTGTACTACCGACTTATAGTAACCACCAAAAGTCGTAACTTCCTGTGTTTTTACATCATGCCCTCTACCATGCCCATGGTCTACACCATTTATAAATTATTATATTTTATTATCATCAGCACAAAATAGTCACGGAAATACTACAATCAATCATGTAGATGTAGTGCAGTGAGTCTTTTACACAGTCATGTCACTGACTGTGTAGATCTGTAAATCTACCACACCGCCGTACCGGACACCGCTCTGACCTGGCCTAGCCATGCATGCAGCCTGGGGCTTTGCGCTACAGGCGCTATATCATCATGATCATGCAACAGCATAACATTTACAGGGAAAATAACACTGCGAAAAAATGATTGTAGCATACATGTACATGGCCAAGATAGGCAAGAAGCCAAGGCAAGATCAAGAGAAAGCATAGCGCATGCCATTGCCATTATAAAAAATATTATTAGATTGTTTCTTTGCAAAGCTAAAGGTCAGATGGAGATCAGCTCAGCAACAAGTCTATGTTGGGAGGACAACCGCTAGGCGCTAGAGAAGTCGGAGCCACTTACAAAAGTCGAGTATTTAGTTGAAGTACTACTACTACTAGTCACTAGTGTCAGTGCCTCCTGCGCTTGTCGTATGAAAGCAAAGCAGTGCAGAACCGCTGCTTCAGGCATGAGGTGGGAAGATAAACGTTTTCTCAGTGAGAGTCCTCATTGCGGAATCAATGAGTTATCGAGTGAAGGGAGCCCAGAGGTGTGGCGGCCTTTCAATAAGGCGATGGGTTGAACTAACTTGACAGTTATGAATCGTTGACATCTCGCGGAAGAAATCCCTTGGCGAACATGACTTGGCCCACGCGAGAGATGCACATAAAAGCGACCGAATGTGGACATGGTCCTCCAGACTGCCAGAAGAAGACAGCAAACTCACTGGCTGCGCTGCCTGCTGCTGTGGCCGTGAACGGAGTCACCAAATTGCAAACTAAACGTCTTGACAGCGCTTTCTCTATCCTCAGTGTGAAGTTGACCGTCGTGTCTGTAGTCCCAGATTGACTTGCGTGTAAAGGACGAAACCGAAGCCGATCGACCATGGCAGTCTCAGCGTTGAAGATCGTAAGTCCACAATATGTTTTGTAACCACTTCATCTGCACCTAGCAGCAGTTACATGATTGTGTAAACATGTACGCTGTCGCTCGGAAATGGTCCGAAATTGAAGATAGGAAATGTCTTCAAGTGCCGTGTGTTTGGTATTCCGGCACGTTGGTTTATGCACTCCAATTATAATAATAGCTGAGAGAGCCGGTCCATGATGTGTTCGTTTGGGTTGGGCCAGGCCAGATGTGCTGTTCTGAATGTCATACAAATTTAGTCACTTCTGAATGAATGACCATTAGTAATAGTAGGCATTACAAATCCTGACTGTGTAAGTGAGTGGGCATTGTGCAGTTATGGGTGCGTAGATCACCGTGCGCTCTATGCAGCTGTAGTGAGGAGGAATGACGTTGCCCTTGTACAGTCAGTGTACATACACACTATTATGAATGTACTGCTGTAGTACAGTATACTGAGGAGTAACTGCATTACAAGTAGTTACTGGAGAGTCTGATTGTCATTTATTATTAGGACTTGGGATGTGACATACCTGTTTGAATAATCCCAAAGTTGATTCATTATTTGGCAGCTTGGTCTTTGACCGAACAGTCTGATCTAATCCCTTATTGAGTTATGATAATGCTGAATGCGGGGTTTGTAATTCAATGGAATTGGAGATGTTCTGCTAGGAGGGGGGGGGGGGGGGGGGGCATTCTGATTGAATTCCTCTGATTGAATTCCTTGCTCCTCTAAATAGCCCGTAAATCATGTGCACTGTACATGTAAATGTAGCTGTCCTTTTCTGGATATTCTCCACGAAGTGGAGGGGATTGTGCGTGGTGGATTCCTGGTTTGGCATGGTGTGATGTGATACCAATAGCTATGGTATATTTCTAAGGATTTGAAGTTCGAGAAACTACATTACTATCTGGTGTCGAAGAACAGAGGGAGGGGGGGGGGGGGGGGCAGAGTCGTAGACTAGACCGTGTCTATAGATGAGCCAGCACACATACGGGTGCTATCCTGTACCTGGCAAAAAATCATTTTATTATTTGCCGCATCGTTCTTCAATGCTGAACAGCACGGTAACAGCTTCCTTTTTACATGTATGTCTGATCTCCATGGCGTGTGTGACAGGTGGTGGTGATGGTGAGGGGGGGGGGGGGGGGGGGGATGGCAGCTTGCAGCTGTGATGTGTTTAGGCAACTCACTGTCACACCGCTAATCCCTTTTCTGCTCATTCCCTGGCTGCACCCCTTCTTTCCTGTATTGTGTCAATGTCAACCCCAACCCCACCCCGTTAACTGCACACGTGTAGCTTTATAAAAAAAAGGGAAAATCTTCAGTAGCTCCCATTTAGCAAAATTGATATTAGCAGCCACCGTCTCAGTGCAGAGAGTGCTGGGCCAAGGATTACGAATCCTCTTTTTGGCGAGAATAGTGATCACTCGCAGCACTCCTTTTGAGAAAGTGGCTAAATGCAAAGATTCCTTGTCCAGGAAGCACTAAATAAGACAGCTGCTGCCCTATCAGTGTTTTGTGATGTACATAATTAAATAATAATAATAGTTCCAGTTCGCATGTCACTCATGGAAGGATCCTTGGGCTTAACGCATCTGTCAACGAAATCCAGGCAGAAGAGCTAACAAAAGGCATCTCCTGTATAATAATTATTAAAATTTCTTGAGGCGTTTTGCATGACATGGTAGCACACACGCTGGTCTGCAACTCAAAGTGTGGCCCGGCGCCCTTTTTTAGCGCGTACATGCACTGTACATGTTGTTCACGTACACACTGTAGAAATGGACCTGCAGTGCTGGGGGGGGGGGGGGGTCTTCAAGGCCAGCACCCCGTGGTGGCCACTTGATTTCTCACCAGATTAATGTCCCCTCCTGTAATAAATATTTCCTTTGAATTCTTTATTCTCACGATGGCACCATCGCCAATAAGAGATAAATTTATGAGAAGGTGAGATTGTGGGTTAAACAGTTGGAAAGTGATTCCTTCCTTGAATACTTTGTTGATGGTAGTAGCCTTTACAGTACAGTCAAGTGTTGAACATCTTCTCAGAGTCTGCACATGTGTGCAATCATGCAGATATTCAATTAGAACTTGGAAGCATTGAAGATAATGTATATACTTGTACCTGTCAATGCGATTATAAGCAGTAGCTCACTTAATTGTTATAGAAGTGGTGAAGTGGTCTGGTAACAGGCTAGTCTATGCTCTCCTTTCAACCTCTAGCAGTACTAGTGTGCGGTGCCATAGTCAAGTAGTTTGCAGACCACTGAGTTAACAGATGACTCAGCAGAAAAGTGGCCATATCTCCATGGTCCTTGGCTCAAGTGTGTCGTGTCACCTACTGATTATGCTATGCCCTCATTTGGCAAAGAGCCATACTACACCATTGTGTAGGTAGTACTAGTATCGGCTATAGCAACAGCACTCGGGAGGAGCTTTCTCTTGGCACGGGACCATGTGTTCTGCCAACTTGCCTATCATCCTCCTTTTAAACAGCTCAATCTGTTCTGGCATTCCCGAGAAGTTGTATGATGTGACAATTTGGAATAGTCCAGGCCAATGTGTCCACTTTGGACAATTTACATGTAGGGCCAGTGCGTGATTGGATGAGCAAAACTTGAGGGACTCCTGAGGCAGAAACACACCATGGTCTGTGGTATAGTGTTCTTTGAAATTGGACGATGGCATGACACCTGGGTGTTCCAGTGTCTTCCTAGGGCGGAGGAAATTATAATATGCCACATGCCTGAACTCCTCTGTTGGACAAAAGAATGTGTGGTTGAGTAACATTCGTGCTAGTCTGTGTTGTGTACCACTGCCGAGTGCTGTTCAGCTCGAAAACGTCAATACATGTATTGTGGACATGATCCAGTATGACTTGTGTGAATTATTTTGCTTGGCGTGGATGAGCCAACCAAACGTCATGCAGAGTTTGGTCTATTTCAAGATGAATGTGAATGTCTGACAGGCTTCATTAGGGCTCGTCATGTATGCTGCAGAGGAATATCAGCAGCAGGTGGATATTTGTATACGCAGACGTACGACAGCTTGTAGAGAAGCAATTGCTTCGTACATACATGTATGTGCTGTCTGTTCAGTGACACCCACTTTTAGAGCCAATGTAGAGATTTCGGTGAGCCCTGGTGTAGTATGAATGGCAGGCGAGGTCTGAAGCCGGTTCACTAGAAAGTTCAGTACTAGAAAGATTGTGCATAGCGTTACTGTGTATAATGTCTGCTAATGGAAACAAACAAGTCTGCTGAGATGTGAGTTACATCATACAGCAGTGCCATTGCAAAATGGTTTGATCTTAGGCCTGGCTATGCGGCTACACTGCTCCGGCTATACATCAACTATTTCGATATGATGAGAACTGTACCAGTGACACAGTCTGACATAGTTTATGTTGTGTGTAGTGAGCCTTTGACTCATTCATACTATTATGACCACATACTGTACAATGTACAATGTATATCAATGCTGCAGCACTGTGCACTGTGCACTGCGTCTTGATCACTTGTACCATTATCATGAATTTAGGACCTTTGTACTACCCACACATGTAACGGGTGTGATGATATCCGTACACTCATTATCTCGTTACCACCACAACCTTGTAAAGGTTATGCTTTAGAAAGTCGCATTTTTGTAACAACTGCAATGTTTCAAATCTTGAAGGACGCTTCACGCAGCTTCATTGCACTTGAATAGTTTGCAGGCAACCTGCCTACACTCAAGAGAGCACTGCATTTCACACGAATCCATTGGAAGTATCGTTTCAACGTTTCGGTCTTCATGACCATCATCAGGAATGAATGTTTTTGACAGTAAAATAATCTTGCACTGGTTGTTGTCCATAACTACGTACCTGTATGTGTATGTGCATAGTCTACAAGGTCCATGTGTGTGCAGATTGTGTATGCTGGATTACTAATGGTCTACATGCATCATGCCTCATGGTAAAGCTGAGCCAAGGTTTGGCCACGACCACATGCACTGCGTGTCCTAATAGGAGCTGTGTACTATGGTTTGTATCAGATGACCATTGCGCTAAGGAATTATCTACAATGTATCTTCCCAGGTCTGTCACCTGGTAGTGGTGGTGGTGGTGGTGATGGTGGTGGTGGTGGTGGTGGTATGGGGAGGGGGTGCTCCTCTGTACACACACACACACACACACACACACACACACACACACACACACACACATACGCACACAGAGCTCCAACAATCCCTCACTCCAACACGTCCAAGTGCCTTACACACACCTGTATACTGTAACAAATTACAGGTCAATTGTGTTACATGTGCGTAACACTTGTACTTTCAAGTTACGTGCCAAAGAAGAAGCGCAGGTGCATGTGGACTTTGCTGCACATGTTGTAACATTCTCTAGGTGACCGGCCAGGATAGACTATGGCCGTATCCATGTGTGGTTGATATCTCCCAGTGTAGTAACAGGCCGTATCTCTCAGGCAGAGGACTCGGGTAATTGGCATTACTGCTGATGGCCGGAAACAATGTCCTTGATTCTTTGACAAGCACTTGAATCAATTAGAAGAGTCTCTTCCACGCATATACCAACCGTGACTAGGCCACTGCTCTCGTGGATCATGACTGGCTAATTAAGGCTTGGAAGTTCATTATTAGATGCTATAGTGTTACAGCTATTATGGGATTGGTCATGGGATTGGACACTCTCAGCACGCTGCCTGCATCCTCCAGCGGTTGCTTAGTATATATATGGACACTGGATTGTTTTTGAAATGACCTCATTGCCAGAAGACGAGCAGCCTTGCGTGGTCTAGTACCTCCGGTCTGTTCTGTATTCATCAGTGGTGGGGGTGATGAAGAAGAAGAAACGTGGAGCCTGCCTTCAGCGCTAAGTGTACTGCTGGTGTCAGAGGCCATCAGCAGGCTGTGTACTGTGTACTGTGTTCATGTACCTTGTTGTGGACTTGGTCGTGATGGCTGGTGGTCACGGCCTCTGTCTCATGTGTTGTGCTGTACTGTACTCGTGCACGGTGACTACCATTGACATTCATGATTCAGTCCTGGCCTCTTCTCATAATTTCCCTCTATACATATGATGCATGGTATTGCTAAGGCTGACAGAGACAGTGAGCTCAGATCTGAAACCAGGTCTATTGAAGCAGCCCAATTCAGGAAACAATCAACCAATGTAGTACATCCAGTAATGAATTTGTTATCCTTCACTGAACCCCTGTGGGCAGCAAATGATGCAGGGTATAAAATGACAGGTAACCCTGCATCTTGGCATCAGACCACAGCCTACCCACTTTGCAGAAAATTCTTCTTTGGATTATCCTAGGTCTTGAAGGTGCAGAAGAGATTGAGTGCATGCCACAGTACAGGTGTACTGGTCTGCATCACTAGTAGATCTACTGGTCTCCTTGCTTCTAGTCCAATCATGTTATCTTTTGGTAACCGTCTTCTCAATCCTGCTACTGCTGTTATGCAGGCTGCGGTACTGTTGTGTGCCCTCTGTGGACTCAGCTATGTCTCTGCTCAACCTGTGCAAAGAACAGCATTGGCAGGTAAGCAAGTGGAATAGCTTACCTTTGAGGTAGAAGTGCTCCATCATGCAACACATGTGTGCATATATGTGTGTGTGTGTGTGTGCGTGCGTGCGTGCGTGCGTGCGTGTGCGTGTGTGTGAGAGGTTGCGTTTGTGCGTGTGCGTGTGTGAGGTTGCGTTTGCGCGTGTGCGTATGTGTGTGTGTGTGTGTGTGTGTGTGTATGTGTGTATGTGTGTTTGGGGGGGGGGGGGGGGAGGGGGCATACATTCGTCCGTTCTTGTATGTTCACTACGCTGAATACTGCAGTACTTGATGGTGGGGCTGTTGTCGTCTTTGGGAACGGTTCTGCTTCTTCTTCTGTATAGTCACGGGCTATTCTCTGGCTGCTGATTCTGCTGCTGCGGTTGCTTCTGCTAGTGATGGTGGTGGTGGTACTTCTTGCTGGTGGTGTTGGTAGTTGTGGTGCTGCTGCTGCTGTTGTGTATAATTGCATTGCCCACACTTAGTACATTGTGTCCTCATCATCAGTATCATCGTGGTTACTGATTCAGTACTGTTGCAATGTGCTTTCCAGGTTCCGGTTTTGGCCACTACCCATGCCAATGTGGATTGGTGCAGGAGAGAGCCTGCACATCGGATACGACTGCTCTCTACAAAGTCACGTATAATCTGGACTGGAAGAAACCCAGACCCAGTGGTGCAGGTTAGCAGTTGTTACTGTGCACCCAGTTTTCTTTCCCCCAGCCCCAAGGGAACTGTGACTGGGTATGATCTGCAGGTTTTTGATTATTCATGCCCCCGCCCCGTGTAGATCACTTCAGGATTGCCCCCAATTGACATTCACGGGGTAACCGGGAAGATGTCTACCCAGGCAATGGCACGTATTCACTGAAGGCGCACGTGACTAGCGCTGCGGGGAAACAAGTAGGTTTTCTCATTTGCGTACATAGTAAATTCGCACTTTACTCTTGACTTGTTGAGCCGTCTCGAACGTTGTATTCCGCAAATTCCACTTCGTTGGGTCACTACTATTGTATACCTTGAAGACCAGTAGTCTACATCGAAAGAAACTCACAAGTTCCAGCGATTAGAGAAACTTCTTTTCCACGCATTTGTATACATTTGTATGCGGAATCGAACAAGTGTCCCCACAGCGTGGCTCACGTGCGCCCATACCATGTATGCAGCGTGGGCGTCCGCCATTTTAGATGAATACGTGCCATTGTCAGCCAGGTGTGGAACACTCAGGACAGTAGCAGCTCGACCGTGCGCTCTACATTCTTCAAACGGGAGCGGAGTGCTACTTGCGTTCGAATTCGTCGGGCAACACCATTCCTGACGCCAAATTTCAAGTCGAGCCAAACAGAACCTCACTCAAAACCTCTCTATTATCCAGGAAAGATGATTTTCACTGGTTTGATGATTTGGTGTCGGTTTTTGTTGTATAATTATGGCTTGTAAATATCTCACTGTTTGCACTCTGCACATGATGTCCTCCTGTCTTTGTAGAGCCTGGCTGGTTGAAGACGTTCCTGCTCTCTCACAGTGCTTGCTCTGTACTCTGGAGAACTGGTAAGTACATACCAGCATTGCATGCATCCCCCCCCCCCTCCCCTCCCCACCCCCCCCCCCCCCCTCCCCTCCCCCATCCCCCATCCCTCGCAAACACACACACACACACACACACACACACACACACACACACACACACACACACACACACACATACACACGCACACACACGCATACATACACACACGCACGCACACTACATGCATGCATTGCAATCATAGGATTGCTTTCCTTGGAATATACTTTTGGTGAATCTGTGAGCAAATTTGTGCCCGTCTGCCTCCAATGTCTCTATTATCTCCATGATCCGATGGCATTGCTGGTACCTTTGTCTTCTCACCTGTTTGCACCATGCACAGCGTATGGAGTGGGCAACGGGATCAGAACGTGGCTGCGACTTGGTAATGAGAGGAACTTGAGGGAGGACTTGAGGAATCTACAGTACTTTTCGCGCAGTGAGTTTGGACCGTTCAACACCGGCACGGCCACTACCTCAAGATTTATCCAAGTTGACCGGTGAGAGACTATGATTGTTTATTCACATCGGTTTGTTTTAGTGGCCAGAGGATGAGGGCTTACAGCGTAGGGATGATCAGCGTAAGACACCAAATGTTTATCCACATATTCTTCTCTTAGCACACTATGTGTGAGTTTCATGACCCATATTGCTACAGTTCGTTCACCCGAAACTGGCCCTAACATTTCTTGGTGTCCCCCATGTATAGTTGTAGGCATTGTGAAAACAACAGTACATCCTGCATTGTATGGCCCGTGCCAATACTCCTTACCTCTTTTCTTCCCAAATGTGTCACTTGTCGCGTTCCCCTTGTAAAATATTCATGTGCATACAGGTGCCACCTCTTTTGAGCACACATTGCCCACCCCATATTGTGCATACATGGCCCACCCCATATTGTGCATACAGGGCGCACCCCATACTATGTTACATGCATGGACTGAAGGCGCTGGTATCACTGACTTCACGTAACCACCAGTCCACTCTTCTA